GAGTCTCTCTCCCTCTTTATGCAGCAAGGGGACAGTCTTGTTGTTACTTCGATCTCCCAGGCTGGGAAAGGCTGAGAGGAGGCAGTGCCTTCTGCTCAGCTGGAAGAAGCTGGAGCCAGGATCTGAACCCAGTCCCCTCACCCCGCCCTTTCCCCCACGTGGCTGCCTCTTGGAGGCTCTGGGTCACCACGCCCAGCTCGTCGGGGCTCCCACCCAAGGCTGGTGCGGCACCATCTCCCCTGGCAGGACAGAGGCCTTGGGAAAGGCTCCAGTGGTCACATAAGGCCTGGAGGGGGTGGCTGGGACTGAATGTGATCCCTTCTCTGGAGGCATGGAAGCTGAGGTCTCAGGCCAGAGAGCCGGATGCATGTCTGACCAAGATGACATCCAGCCACCTGCCCTCAGGGCATCAGCTAGCACAGACAGTGTCCTTAGCCTGACCCTGTGTTGAGTTCTTGAAACACAAAGACAGGCAGCATGGGGGAGGTGGGGAAAGGTTGGGGGGGGGTGGGTACTACCTGGCCCTCAGAGGTAGCTGGGAGGCTGAGTGGCCCAGTCAGACTGGCTCCTAATCCTGCCCCTGCTGCCTCCCAGCTGGGTGACTGAACAAGGCACTCAATTCCTCTGAGCCTGTTTCTTTATCTGGAAAAGGAGTAAATGACAGGACCCACTCGACAGGGTTTTATGAAGATTAAATGAGGTAATACAAGAAAAGTGCTTAGTCTAGTCCCAGGCAATGCGCCAGGGCCCAATAGGTATTGGCTGAGAAGCTCCAAACCCTTCTGAGATGGGGCTCCCTCCCTCCCTTTGGCTCTGCGGTCCAATGCTCAGCAGTGAAAGAACAAGGTGAGGGGGGGAGGCAGGCACACACGCATACACCCGCTCACATGCTTTTACACAATAAAAATTCGAAGAATCACAAAGCAATTCTAACCATGTTTTTCTATGGGGTGAGATTATGGGGGGGGGACTTTAACTTTTATATTACATAGCTCTGTTGATTATGTTAATTTTATAATCAGAAAACAATCCCTTAAAAATTGTTGTGTGCTACTCAGTGGCAGGCACAGTATCAGGCACTTTTGATACAGCATCCCTAACCCTTAGAACATCCTTCCCAGGGAGGTCATCTTATCCCCATGTTATAGATGAGCAGTGGGGGAGGCTTAGAGAAGTGAAGTGACCTGACCAAGGACACACAGCTCATCAATGATGATGTTAGGATCTGACCCCAGTATTGGAATCAAGTTCAAAGCAATTCTGCTTTGGCAGGTCAGGGAAAGCTTCATGGAGGAGGTGACATTTGAGCTGAGCCTGGAAAGCTGAGTAGAGCTTCTCTAGGCCAAGGTTCTCAACCAGGGGTGACTCTGACCCAGGAGACATTTGATGAAGTCTGGAGACGTTTTTGGTTGTCACAGCTTGGTGGGGTGGGAGGGTGGAGGGGGTGAGGGGAGTGGGAAGCGCTGCTGGTTAGCGCTAGTGGTCAGAGGCCAGGGATACTCCTAAACATTCTACAGTGCACAAGATTGCCTTGCACACAAAGACTTACCTGGCCCCAAATGTCAATAGCGCACAGTATGATAACATACTACAGCTGTCATTTACTGAGTGCTTACTATGTGCCGAGTGCAGTACTAAGTTCTTGCAAATGCCATCTCATTTCATCCGCCCCCATTTGCCGTCAATGAGGGACTCGAAGCTCAGAGGTGGAAGTAACTCTTCTAAGGCCACACTGCCAGAAAATGGTAGCACCAGGACTGAAGCTGCCCAGTACAAAGCCAGAGTTCTTCACCTTTCTGCTCTGCTGCCCCCAGGATTTATAATAAATGTAAAAGCTGCAGGCCAGCCGCTAGGTGGGATGTGAGGAGACTCCAGCTGAGCCCAGGCACAGCCTCCTGTTGGCCTCGGGCCTGGGGCAAGGTCTGCTCCCTCCTCCTCTGCCACTGCCCCATCTGTCAAGTGAGGGTTGCACCAAAAGATCTCCAAGGCCCTGCAGCTCTGAGTCTGTTATTCTTCAGGAAAGGGGCCCAAGCCCAGGCTCTAGGAGAGCCGCGAGAGGAGGGGGTGTGCCGGGCAGGCTCAGCCTCATTCCCAGTGCACACGTAGTGAATGAGCCCTGCTCTGTTGATTATGTTACCCCACAAGGTGAGAGAGGCAGGTGGGGTGGGGAGTGGCTTGACCCTCACCCAGGAGTTCCCCACTCCAGGGTGGAAGGCATGTTTCTCTGCCACCTTCTTGCCAAGCCCAAAGGAGGAGCCAAAGCAAGGTCTCCTCTCAGGCAAGAGAGGCTGGGCTGGGCATTTGCCCAGCTGGGCACGTGAGGTCTCACAGGTAGAAGGAGAAAGGATGGGAGGGGGCATGCTGACCCAGCTCCTCCCCTGTGCCAACCATCTCAAACAGCAGTTCACTTCAGGTCAGCCTCCTGAAATCCTGGTAGGAAAGAACCATTGTGACCCCAGTCTACAGACCAGAGCATCAAGGCTTACATGAAGGGACTTGCCGAGTCACACAGACAGGGCTGAAGGAAGGTTTGGAGCCCAAGTCTATCTGACCACAGGATAGTGCACTAGAAGGTAGGTGAGTGGCCGTCTTGTTCTTTTCACCGAGGAGTAAAAGTGTTTCAATAACATTTAGAGAAAATACACATTTAATTTCTCCTGCATTCCCCAGGACATGGAATGGATTGCAAAAAACCGAAAACACAATTGTTCTGATTTCCTGGTTTGCATTCAGGGGAACCCAGGCTCAGAAGGCAGAGGCCTCTCTAGCTAGAAAGTAGACAGGGAGAGGAGGAGCTAAGCGGCAGAGGAGGGATCTGGCCTGGGGCAGGCGGAGCTTTCTAGCCTGGCTCTCTCACTGTCTGGTAGTGTAGCTTTGGGCAAGTCCCATCACCTCTCTGGACCTCAGTCTCCACATCTATATTAGGAAGAGGTTGGACAGATGGTTTCAGACAGAGTCCCTTCAAACCCTCACCACCTGCACCCAGCCGTGTCAAAGGTTCTCCCCTTCCTGTTTATGTGACTTCACAGATGGAGAGATGGGGATACCAGGGCCCGGCACAAAATGCTCTGGGGATGGAGGGCCGATGCCAGCCTGTGCAAGCTCCCAGAGCCCCCAGTTCTTGCTCTCCATCCTCAAAAAGCCAGACTGGGAGGAAGTCAGCCATGGTTTGGGGATGAAAAGGGCAGGGAGGGAGAGATGGTGAACATGGGGCCATTTCTCCTGGGCCAAGGGTCATCCACAGACATCTGCTAAGTGCAGGCTGGCTTGCAGAGACTCATGTTGGTTGGGGGGGGCGGTGCGGGAGGACACCTCCTACAACGTAGGGGAAAGTAGTTATTTAGCTCCTGCTTAAGCATCTCAAGGGCCAGGGAGCTCACTGCCTGCCAAGTTAGTCCACTGCATATTAAAAAAAATGAGTGAAAGATCTGCTTCCAAAGGCTCCAGTCTGGGACTGCTCAGGCCAGAATTGGTCATTCACTCATTCATTATTCAAACTTTACTGATGAGTACTGACGTGCCAGGCTTTCGGGCCATAGATATGATGAATTACAGACTGTCTCTGCTCTTTGGGAACTGTGTGCTAGACTGGTATCCTAAGGCCAAAGATACAGGACTGGTGGATTGAAATGGTTTAGGTGGAGGTAAAGATTCTAGACTTCCAGGCTGAAATGAGCTTGGGTGCCATTCTAGTAAACACATTAAATGGATTTCTTTGCTACAAGATTTCTTCAAACCTTTAATATGCAAAATGTACATGGAGAATCCTCCAAGGGGGTATCGAGAATATACTATATTCCCCAATATAGCTGATCTTGGAACACTACTTTTTAAAACAGCACACTTATTAACAGAGGATATTTGAGGAAATGCAGCCCTAATGCCTTTTTTTTTTTTTTTTTTTTTGCCAGGGGAGCTTGGGGAAGCCTTACACTGAGAGGACATTCGAGCAGGGCTTTGAGAACTGAGTAGGAGTTGGTCAGTGAAGATGGGAATGTTTACGGGAGATCATTTATAGTCCTGGGCTGACTATGCTCAGGTTACCCTGCATATACTGTTTCATTTAGTCTTCAAAGGTCTTGATAAGGGTGACAGAGCCAAGGAGGTCATCAAAAGCCTCTGGAGACTCCCAGAGATCCACCCCCTTCCCTTTTCTTGCATCACCCCACTTCAGGTCCTTATTCTCCAAATCTTGAGTCTTAAGTCCTGTTCCCACCGTCAACCTGGCCTCTCCTCTGGTTTAAACCCAAAATAGTTTCTTACAGTACCTGGACTTGATCCCAGCTTTAATCCCTCACACACCCTGGCCTAGGCCTTGGCACCCAAACTCACCCTCTCTGCAGTTTAGATGGCCATAACTTAGACCCTCTCTCAGATTTCACCCTGCCTGCCCAGCGCAATCTAGCCCTGGTACTAACCCCCTAGGTCCTGATGCACACCTGATTGAGACCCGCCCCATGGTGCCCCAAGCCTGCCCCTCAGCTACCCCAAACAGTCCTGACCCATTCCCGGACGGCGGCCCCGCCCCCTGTCTAGACTTGATAGTGTTCCCATTCCCATCTGCGTCTTCGTCCCAACTCTGTCCTGAACCATTCATTTGTGGACCCTGCCTTCAGGTCCAGGCCCCTGACCCCAGACAGTAGCCCTCCAGCTCTGATTCGTCCCCGTCCCCAACCCTGCCCCAAGCCCGTACCTGGGCCAGCTCTGATCTCACTGGTGCCGGCCATGCGACTCCATGGGTGACCCCTCCCCAACCAAGGACCCACCCCCACTTCGGGTCTGTCTCAGACGCGGCCAGACGCGACGGCCCTAGGCCCCGCCCCTATCGCCCCGCCCCCTCATCGCGGCCCCGCCCCGTCCCCGTCCCGTACTAATTCTGATAGGGCTCTGACCCTGCCGGCGGCCCCGCCCCGTGACAATTTTGACTAGGCCCAGCCCACGGTCCAGCCCTGACCCCGCCCCCGGCCCCGGCCCCGCCCCCGGCCGGCCGGGCAGCTCACCTGCAACTCCTCGAAGGCATCGTCGATGCCGGTGACCTGGTGCTGCTCGTGCAGCGCCGGCTCATCGCAGAAGAAGCAGAGCAGCGCGCGGTCCGTGAGGCAGAAGAGCTTGACCTTGTCGTGCGCCTGGCAGGGTCGCGCCGCGCGGCGCGCGTTGAGGATGGCGTCCAGCGGGAAGGCGCTGTAGCGCTCCACGATGTTGGCTAGCTTGAGGCTGGGCGCGAGCGCGGGCTCGGCGAACGTGCGCCTGCACTCGGGGCAGTCGCGGGCGCCCTGCGCCTCCTGCCTCACCCAGTGCTCAGTGATGCAGCGGCGGCAGAAGTAGTGCTCGCAGCCCAGGCTCACCGGGTCCTGGTAGATGCTCAGACAGATGGAGCAGAGCAGCTCGTCCTTGAGGCTGCACGCCATGGCGCTGGGGGCGGCGGAGAGGGGGCCCTGAGATGCAGGGGGGCGGCTGAGCGAGCGCGGCGCTGTCGGGGGCCGCACCGAGGGATGGGTGCCGGGAGCAGGCGGGGAGAGGCAAGAGTAGGAGCTACAGAAGGAAGGGGGGCTGTCCGGGAGGGAAGGGGGAGACGCGAGGAAGAGGTGCAGGGTAGAGACTAGTCGGGATGCGAGTCCAAGAAGGTGGTCTCGAGGTAGTGGGTGACTCGAAGCGATGGGTGCTGGAGGGAGGGGGCCTTGGTGTCTGAGGGAAGAGGCTCCTGGCAAGGAGGTTCTAGAGTAAGGGACAGTCTGAAGGGATGGGTGCTGGGAGAAGAGGATCCAGGAGGGGGGCGGAGGCCTTAGGGGGTGCTGAAACCCCGGGATGGGTGCAGTGGGGGGAGGGGGAGAAGCTGGGGATGGGGAATTCTGGGGAAGGGGGAAGCCAGGCGGAGCTGCGCCGCGGCTGTGCGTGGCAGAGGAGAGGAGGGGTGCGAGCAAGCTCAGCTGCCCGATCCCGGCCCCAAGACCCCGCCCGGCGTGGCCCCTTACCCCTGCCGGCTCAGCGGCCACTGCTCAGGTCCGAGCGCAGCCTCTCAACCCGGAACCAGCCGAGCGCGAGCTCCCGGCGGCAGTGACTCCCTCCCCGCCCCGCGGGCCGGGCCCTGGCGACTCCGCCCCTACGGCGGGCGGGGGAGAGGAGAGGCGGGGCCAGGCCTCCAGCCCGCGGACCCCCTCTCCGCCCCCACCGTTCCCCTACTCCCCCGGGACCGAAACCCAGCTGTTCCTTCAGGATCTGCACACAGAACAACGTGCGCGTGTCGTTTAGGGTCGCTGCGGCGGGTGAGGACAGCTAATTTAAGAGGATAACGAGTAAACAAGGAGCATCTTTCTGGATCATCGACTTGAAGATTTTGGAAAAATAGTATTTTTTAATAAAACAAGAAAGGATATGTCCTGTAATCTGTATAGAATACAACCTTTGCATAAAATGTAAAGATAAACTCGAGAGAATGCCTGCTTGCTTAGGGCAAGTTCAAGATTTCCTCTTCACTTTCTTAAGGAGTGCTTGGGGGAGAAGTTTAGAAAGTCCAGACCGGCTACTGTGTGACCCAAGGTAGCCTCCATTCAGTAAACATTTCCGGGGTTTTTATATTTTGTGTGTGTGTGTGTGTGTGTGTGTGTGTGTGTGTGTGTCTGCCCGCGCGTGCGTATGTGTTTGGCGGGTGGGGAGGGTGGAGCAGGAGAGAAGGAGAGAGTAATAGGAGACCTTATCTTGTATGCCAGATGGAGAGGGGATAAGGGATTTCTAGATAGAGGGGACAGCACAGAGGCGTGAAAGGGGAGGGCACTTTGAGGGAAGTGCAAGTAGTTCTATACCGTCGGCGGTGGGGTGGGGAAGGCAAGGAGTGGAGGGTGCTGTGGGTCACAGTAAAAGATTTCCTGGAGGCACTGGGCTTTCAAGCGGAGGAATGACTTGGTCTGGTGTGGGTTTCAGGGAGTCAGAGAGATGCTCCTTATTCCATCAGCAGGGTGAAGGCAGGGATCCTTTCTGATATGTCTGCATATGCGCAGTGCTTGGTACTCATTACAGCTGTGTAGCTGAGTAATGGCAACAAAGATGGAGGCTGCGAAAGAAAGACTGGCCCCAGTTAGATCACTGTTGTCACAGTGCCTGCAGGGGACCTGTGCTGGGGCTGAGACACTGGGGAAGGAGAGATGGCAAGGGTATTGAAAGTATAGACACTATGGAATTTAGTAATGGATTGGATATGGGCGTGAGAAAGAGACATTGATCATGGCTCCCCAGTTTCTGCCTTCTCCAGACATGCCTCCCCTGGAGTTAAACTTTATTGAGGTACAATTTAAGAAACAGTTCAAAGTTTACTCCTCTGGGCTGTTTACGTACCCTCCAGATCCTCACCTGGTCCCGTGCCACCATCATTGCCAGAAATGAGTTGGTAACTCATGCCAAACCATTCCTCCACTTTTCCTTGCAGTCAGAGTCTGATTTTGTTCAGGTGAGTCCCTTCCCCAGGTGACCAAGGGAAGGCTGGCCTCAGCCCAGTCTAGGAGGAAGTCCCCTTTTGGCTCAAGTCCATTGTGATGGTTGCATTCTTCTTGCCAGTGATAGTTTGGGCTTGGACATGTGACACAGATCCAGCCTGAAAAACCTAGAGGTCAAGCCTCTGGTGGGGAGGCGACTTCTGCTAAGGATCTCTTCCCTTTCAAAAACTCTGCCCCCTTTCCTGATCGTGTATGTGTTTGGTGGTGATGGTTGGAGCTGCAGCAGCGAACTTGCTCCCAGTCTGAGGATGCAGCCAACACATGACTGAGGCTGGGAGAGTCCTAGGGAAGAAGGGCTGGTGCTCTGACGCAGGCATAGACTTTTGGATATATGAGGTGGCCCACCTTATTGCTTAAGCAAGTTGAATAGGGCTGTGCTTTCCGTTGGCAACCAAAAGAATCCCATATAACACACCAATATGCATACCCAATATATTTTTTTTTTTGTAAGGAGGGGAGCGTCTAAATTATTGAAGTATTTGAAGAGAAATGTAAAAAGGCTTGATGATGGATGGACAGGCTTCATTTATTCAACATATAATCTATCCTCTTCTATGGCAATGGAGCAGCCGGCCAAATGGCTGGTCTGCTAGAGACCGCACTTTCTAGTCGCTCTTACTGCTGACTGTGGCTTTGTGACTAAGTCCTTTCTAATAGAACATAAATAGAAACAGTCCTTAAGGCATTGGGCTTTTGCTCTGCCATGCTCCATTTCCTCTTCCTTCGAGCTGGAACACAGATGTGCCAGGCACCGAGCTTCAATAATGCTTCAAAGGGGCTGACAGAGCAAAGATAAGGAACCTGAGCTCTGAATGACGACATGGAGTGGAATCACCCACCCATGCGGACTAGAGAAAGAGAAATAAGCGTGCATTTTCGGTAAGCCATTGTATTTTGGGTCTCTTTCTTGCAGCAGCTTGGCCTACCCCATGCCATCCCACTGCTGTTTTTAGAAGAAGCTCTGTTACTATGTGATGCTGTTGTCTGAATCCTTTCAAATAGCTAAGCTCCCCTTGCTCTGTAGCCCCAACCCCTTCCCAAATGTATGGAATATGGTTTTCTCTGGCTGTAAGTCAGTCTCTTGATGTTTTGCAGTGTTTTCCGCTTTTAGTCTTTTTACCCTTCCAGCAGTCCTTCTGCTGGCCTTACACCATCTCGGCTAAGATGTGGAGCATACACTCACTCAAACTGCTGGTGATAGTTAAGTTTGGCAAGCCATTGCTCTTCCTGGATCATTGTTTCCCCAACTTGATGTGGTCAAGGGGTCTGAACTGAGACGGGGTGGTCCTGACCGCAGTGCATGCTGACTGCTTCCATCCATACTCTAAAAAATAACTTCAGGAATTTTTCTTTTTAAAAATTATCCGAGAGATCTTGTTAAGTGGAAAACACACACGCACAGATACTCAGACACAGACCCACAGTCACACATAGGCACACAGCCATTATCTGCCTAGCAGAGATCTGCGGAACTCAATAGCAGTTCCAACGGTGTTTATCTGTGATCTAGGATTATGGAGGGGACATTATGCATATAGCACTGTTCATTATTTAATTTTATAATCAGAAAAAATAAAGACACAAACGTCATTATTCATGGATTCCATATTTGCAAATTCACCTACTTATAATTTTTTTCTCTTTAGAGAGGGGAAGAAAGAGAGAGAGAGCAGGGGGAGGGGGCGAGGGAGAGAGAACCTTAAGCAAGTTCTATACCCAGCTTGGAGCCAGACCCGGGGCTCGAAATCACAACCGTGAGATCATGACCTGAACCGAAACCAAGAGTGGGATGCTTAACCCACTGAGCCACCCAAGCGCCCTTCACCTACTTGTAAATCTATTTGTAACCCCAAATCAATACTTGAGGAACTTCTGCAGTCACGCAAGGATCCACGCATGCACGGAGTCGTGAAAATTTAGAGTTGCCTGATGTACCTGTTCCCAGCTGAGGTCCAACGAGGTGACGCTCTGTCTTGTTTCAGCCCTCATACTGTAAACAAGTGTCTTTTTCATAGTCTATTCAGTGCCACATTTTTCTTATTTGGGGGCTTTTTTTTGGTGCTATTGCTGTTTAAACGGGCCCCCAAGGGTAGCACTGAAGAGCTGTCTAGTTCCTAAGCGGAGGGAGGCTGGGATGAGCCTCAGGGAGAAAACACGTGAGGTAGATGAGCTTCGTTCTGGAATGACTTATGGTGCTCTTGGCCGTGAGTTCAGTGCTAATGAATCAACAATATACATTAGATAAGGTGTCTTTAAACAGAAACACACATAAAACAAGGTTATGTATTGATTGGTTGATCAAAGTGTGGCCAGAAGAACGCTGTATTTCCTCAAGGGGCAATGATTCAGTATTTCCTATTTCAGTCTTTGTGGCAACTTTACAGAACACAGCTACTGTGCGTAATGAGTGGACTGTATTTAAAATTGTTGTTGTATCCAATAGCATCCACCACTACAAGGTATCAACAGCCATGTTCTTCTCCATCCGGGGTCCACGGGCTCAGGCTTGCTCCAAAGGGGAGGGGCAGGAGAAGGAGTACTGACTGAGCCTGTCCTGTGTACCAGGCACTGTGCTAGGTGCTTGGCGGCGTGGTTTAATTTAATCCTCACAACCACCCTCCAGACTTGCTGTTTTTCTCCCCACTTGCAGATAAGGACCCTGTAGCTCAGCGGGGTGAATGACTCGCCTAGCACCAGACCAAAGAGGAGGCACAGGCTTCTACACCCTGGGCTGATGGAGAAGATTACACAGTGTGCAGCCTGGAACTGGGCCAGATCTGCGCCCTCAGCTCTAGCCAGTGGTCTCCGTCCCTCCCCATTCCAAACCTTCGCCTGTCTCCTCAAGCCCCATGGACACACCCCTGCTCCTTTCTCTGTGGGGGACCTTGCCTCCGCCTCCATGAAGAAAGGAGACGCCCTTCCCCGGGGGCTTCTCAACTTCCAGTCCCCTTCAACCTATCAACTTCGCTGTAGAAAGACTTCAAGCCCTTTGTGAAATGAGGCAGAGTGTAATATAAACAAATGGATGAAGTCAACGCATTTATAACTTTATTCATCCTCACTTCCTTTCCTCGAGCCTGAGGGTGAGGTGTGCCTTCTGTTCAGAATGAATTCCTCCACGTGGGCCCTGTCTAATCCCTTCAGAACTCCCCTGGGACCCAAGTCCTTCAAAGGTCCCCCTCTCCAGTGTCTTTGTGTTTCCCCTCTCAGCATTGGCTCCTTTCCCTCAGCTGTGAGCATGCTCACCCTTCTGCGAACAGCCCCTCTCCTCTGGCTCCCACCTCATCTCTTGCCTCTCCCCACCCCAGCCTTTTGAAAGCATCCCCTGCACACCCTCATCAACCCCCGGCAGCCTGGCTCTACTCCCTGCCACTCACTGAGGTCGCTAATAATCTCCTAATTGCCAATTAAAGAGAGCTGCTAATACACAGTCGCTGCGGCAGAAAAACAAAATACAGAGAAAAATTAAAAGGAAACTTGAAATATTCATGACTGCACCACCCAGAAAGAACTATTGACAATACTTGTTTATATCCTTGTAGA